AGGATGTCCCCTCCACACGCCGTGCTCCTGGCTCTTCTGGCAAGCTCGTGACTAAATCCCCTCTAAATGCTGTTTTCCCTGCAAAGTGAAAAGCTGGGGGGTTGGCTCAACGAGGTGATGGCTGGAGCTGGGCTGCAGGGCCAGGAAAACAAAGCCACAGTGTTTTCCTGCCCACACGCTGTGGCTGCTGGGGTCAGGTTGGGGCTGATCCTGCAGAAATAGGATATCTGCTTTGGCCCAGGGGTGAGCGTGCCCAGGGCTGCTATTGGCACCAAGACCCCCTCCAGGCCCTGGCCCCATTAACCTGTCACCACAAGCCTTGGACCTGCACCTCCAAGCAGGGAAGTCCAGGTATTTGGAAATCAAATTTCCATGAATTTACCTTCTAACACAAGGCAGTGATCAGCTCCTAGGCTGATGAATGGCAGGAAGGCCTGGGCATTTTTACAGAGTTCCTCATGGTGTTCGTTTATGTTTTGCAGACCTTCCAGCTCCACCTAGAACAACTGATTCAGGTACCTGCAATGTAACTTTGATTTTTCTGGTGAGCAGAGATCTTCCGCAACACTATTTCTTTTTTTTAATGAAAGATTTGCATCAGTTAGTTATACATTTGCCATTTCCTAGACCAGACTTTTAATGTATAACTGGCAGTTTCTGTATTCTCCGGAGCAAAGTATTTGGTACAAATGTTACTCTACGCATAGTCAAGTTCTGGTAGAGAGGAAGATAACTAGCAATTTTGTAGCACTCACTTTTCTGGTAGTCAAAGACAAGATTCTCACTAAAGGAAGATGCTTTGTTTTGCATTCATCCTGTTAAATATCTAACAGCTCCTGGGCAGCGGTAAATCATGGAGTTTAAGCAGTAGCATTTGGTTTTATATGTGTCTATAGATGTTTTTTTTCCTAAAAGGAAAAGCATAGGACTTCTGATAAGTACTGAAAAAGACGGTGTTAAAGAAGAATCTCTCCCTCCCCAGTGGCAACAGCACTCACTGTTACAGGGCTTGTGCTTCAATTCAACCTCCCAAAAAAATGAAGCATCTAGGCCTGGAGATCAAATTTTTTTTTTTTATTTTTTTTTTAACATAGCCATTCCTGGCTTTTCATTAAAGCCTGGCTGCTGGATTAGTTCTACTAGACCTTTTCACACCATCCTTTTCAAACTACTTTTACTAGAGGTCATATCTCATGTAGTTGTAATTATAGAGCTAAGGTGAGGGCAGAGGGAGAGGCCAACGTGACCAGCTTTGGAAAAGGCTCTTTGATTGGAGGTGAAGAGCAGCTGCCTTACAGACCTGAAAGCAGTAAAAAAACCAAATCTTTGTGAGAACAAAGACAGGCATGGTAAGGTGAGCCTTTTACGCCTGAAGAGCCCAAGGCTGTGGAGACTGGTCCTTGAGAAGTTTTTCTGGTTCAAGGGGATGGACTAAGGGGAACAGGAGTTTTTTATGAGAAACAAGGCTGTGGTAAAGGACGCTGGTTTGCAGCATCGCAGCCCCCACAGGGCTGGGGTGGCTGAGGAGGGGGTTGTGGCCAGGGGAGCTCAGCCCAGGGGAGCTTTGCTTTATGCTAAGGTTTCTCAGCAGTGCTGGCGTGCCAAACTGGTGCTCCCGTGCATCAGTGGCGCTCACTCACCAGTCCATAACTGGGAGCAAGTGCATCTGCAGGAGCAGGAGTCACAGCTGGGCAGTTTGGATTTAGAAGAGTGCACTGCAGGGTGATGCACTTTGCTGGCAAACCCAGACACCCATAACAGCCATAAAGAGCTCAGAGAGGAGGTAACACAAAAAGCATTGTCAAATTGTTAATGTCACCTATCATCTTTAAATTGCACCTAAAATAAAAGATCAGAATTTAAATTCTGTTTACTGACCTCTCTCAAAGCAAGGCTGCACCTCCCGTCACCATGTGTGTGATGCCACCACCTCCAAGGGGAAGAGGCTGGAACACTCCAAGCGGCCAAAGCACCTCAAGAGAAGCCACTCTGCTGGGTGAAAATCTGTCACAAAATGGGAATACTTCTTTTTATGCCACCAGTGGAAATGAGATGGCAACTCACATTTTTCTGGGTAAAGAGAGAGAACAAACAGTGGGAAAGCAGGTTGAGAGTCCCATGGATGATGCTCACCTTTCACAGAAGCTTTGGCTGATCTCCTGTCACTTTCTCTGGTTTGTCCTGCTCTTATCCTTAGCTAAATTGACATTTCTTTGAAAGATGGTTTAATGTTTCCTTTCCATTTTTGGTAAGTTCTGCCATCTCTCAAACCTTGGTATTTATATCAGGCAGCAAATACTGGTTCCCCAGAGTGTGGCAGCGGGTCCCTTTGAAGCCCTGCAACCCAATGCTGCTGCAACTGCTCTGGCCACCAAGTGAGCAGGGGAAGAAAACCACTTTGAAAGCCTGAAAAACTTACTGAGGAGCATTTATAAACATTTTGAATCTAAGAAATACATAAAATCGAGAAGGTTTGACTTAACCCTGCACTTCTGCTTCAACTTTAGCCATGTGCTGGTCTGTCTTTTAGCAGATTGCAAGGCCTTAACAGGTAGAGGAGAAAATGCTGCCCAAACAAAAAGGACTACAGACTTACTCTACAAAAAGCCACTAGATGGGGATGCAAGGACACTTTTCTGCTCTTTGTCTCACACTTGGATCCTCCCTTAGTGAGCCGAGCTGGCCTTTCCTGCTAACATGGGCTGTTGTTGTCTTTGCTTTTGCTTTTTTAGAAGCTGAGAGAGGTCTTCTGGAAACTTATCACTCGCCGACTTTTCATCCTGTCCAAACCAGTCCTTAGGCAATAGCTACGATGTGATTATTGCTTGCTGAATATTATTCTCTGCATCAAAACTTGGCATGGGGAAAGGCAAAAGGCTTAGCTTTCAGTTTGTGGATTATTCTTCTTTTATAAAGGAAAAATACTTTATATCAAACACAGCAGGGGAAAAAAGGGTATTCAGCAAACTGGTAATCTCTGAGAATAGCCATACTTTGGAACAGCTACTGTGGAAAAAAGCCAGATTTTCCTCAGGCTCAATAATCAAACCTCTGGGCCATTTTTTCTCCTCCTTTGAAATCCGTATTTCTCCTATGAATAGGAGAGATAAAATCAGATTGGTTTGGCAGAGGTGCAGGCAGGATCAGCCCTGCTTCCTGAGGCAGAAACCCTCCATAGACTTATA